AGACAGTGTCAACACCTCTACTGCACCCCCATGTCTAGATTTGTGTCTTCCACACAGAAGGTATTCAGTAAGGCTAGAAACTTTTAGCTTTAGCTTTTAAATTTTTTAATTTCTAAATTATTTTTTTTTTAAGAGACAGGGTCTCACTCTGTTACCCAGGCTGGCCTTGGACTCCTCAGTTTAAGTGATCCTGATCCCACCTCATCCTCCCGAGGAGCTGAGATTACAGGTGCTTGCCATCACATCCATCTAACTTCTAATTCTTTTAACTTTTAATTCTATTTTAACAATGGTAAGAATAATTGACCCAGGAAATTAATATCTGCAAATTAGCTACATTTAATTTAGTATATATAAGGAGATCTGTAGCCATATATTTTGCTACATTTATAGCTAAATTTAATGGGAATTTACATCCTAGATGCTTACATATGTGCAGAAACAAGAACAGGTGAATGTGTAACTAATTACATTGATTCATATCTGAGAAGTCCTGTATTACATTACTGTCATATGGCAGGCATTACACCATGGGCTAGGGAAACAGCTATGAAAAGTTACAACTAACATCTTCGGCCAGTCCTAAATAGGACAATCCAGTATTTATAAAACTCTACTGCTAATCTAAAAATACAAGTCCACATGAGCACATTTAAATTGGAAGGGGTGGTATGGAGAAAGTGAATAATTCCAGCTTAATTTCAAAACACCAAGAAGGGGTATTCTTTTTAAATTTTTAATTACTATGGATACATAAGAGAGAGAGATTTTTATTAATAATCTTCAACTTAACTAGATTATGACAAGAGAATATGGTTTTTCCACAGCCAACTTTTTAATTTTATTGAGAACCTGGTTTAGGGCTTAGGACATATTGAGTTTTTGTAAATATTCTGTGAGGGCTTAAATAATACCAGTATTCTGTAATAGGGGTGGAGGGATTTGATCTCCAGTGTTTTAATTGTGTTGTTCAAATCTTCTAACATTTTATCTGCTTAATCCATCTTTTTTTTGTCTTTGAGTTTGTTTTATAAAGTTATTTCTTACAAATGTTATAGCTAAGATAGAATCTTACTCAAACTACTTTAAAATGTGAAATTTCATGGTGTTTTCTTGAAATCAAGAATTTTTAATTTTCAAATACAAATATTGTTTTGCTCTAAATAATGTGAGCTTTTCTATGAATCTTCAAAATTAAAAGAAGAACTTATATTCTCTTGTCTAGGAGAGACAAAAAGTTTAGATTATTAAAGCCAAAAGCTGATTTAAGAGAATAACCAATATCTTATGACATTTTCCCCCAATTCTAAAGAAGTCAAATGTTCTCTAGATCATGGTTGGTAAGGACAGGTCATCAATAAAGTGAGGGTGTCAGGACAGATACAACGTATCTTGCCTCTTTATTCACACACACACAAAAAGAGTATGGACTTTAATTTTAAAAAATTATTACCTCTTAGTTACGTCATTTTAACATTTAGTGCTTATCTTGACCCAAAATGAGATTTTTTAAAAACTATTTTCTTAAAATTAAAGAACACAATTAGTACATTCTTGTTGCTGACATGGAGATTACATTATTATTTACAATTCAAATCTTTGTTTTACTTCATCCACAATCATTTCAGAAATTGCAATGGAAGAAGTGGCAGCAGGGGAAGGTGCATTTCTCACATGAAGAATGCGATTTCGATATCCCCAACTCCTCCATCAATAACAAATCATCTACCAGATTTCATCTCTGTCCAGAGCTTGGCTCTTACTCCCGCTGGACCTCTGCAAAAGCAAGAGTGAGAGTCAAATGACCCAAAGACATAGGACACTTATAAGTCAGTGGTTTTCAAAGTATTCTTAAAGCAAGGAAATCTTTATTCTTCAAATGTACAAAAGTGGACACACAATAGGTTGTGTTTAGCCAAACTTTCAGTTGTACCTGTCAAACCTATATCTTTATCTAAAACATAATGCTTATTACATACACTTAACAATATGCCTCTCAAATCAATACACAAATAGGTAAGTTATTTATAAATAAATGCTCTTTCTAAAAGTAAATAAACACACTTAATTAGAACAGATGCATTTTTAAGATTTATATTAATAGAATGAATTTATTATAAAAATCAACCATGACAACAAAAGCATCTTCTGATTAATACAAAACAATGAAAGCAGGGTTATACATTTCAGTTGCAAATCCTATATCTATTTATTTTTATATTTTGCTTTGATACACTATTAAATCTATGGAGAAAAATATTTGCAAATGGTAACAAGCTCTTGTTTTGTAGTTTGTTTTTTTTTTAAATAGTTTACCCTTCAATATTAGGATCACCTTCAATTAATTAGAGATGATAGGAAAAGTATAAAAATGATAAATTTTGTAGTATGTTACTATAATAAGTCTTTATTATTTAAAGTTCTGTTTTATAACATTTGAGTTCACATATTAGATTTCTGGGTTTTTTTTTAATAGTTAAAGTTTACAGATGAAAGTTGAACCAAATGCTTTTGGAATCCAAAGCATCTCTCCTTGAAACTGTTTAAGGAAGCCTACTGTGAAAAAGTCTATCTTACCAAGACTTAAGAAATCAGGCAACAATGTTAAACATTTTTTATTGATTCTGGGACAACTCAGATAAGTACTTGAAGAAGATACAAAGAACAATATAAGTATACTGCTCTCTAAGACCTTAGCCTGGCTAAAGAGAGTATATAATTATAATAGCAGCTTGGTGTGGTGGCTCACGCTGTAATCCTAGCACTCTGGGAGCCAAGGCAGGTGGATAGTTTGAGCTCAGGAGTTCAAAACCAGCCTGAGCAAGAGCGAGACCCCATCTCTACTAAACAAAATAGAAAGAAATTAGCTGGACAACTAAAAATATATATATAAAAAATTAGCCGGGCATGGTGGCACATGCTTGTAGTCCCAGCTACTTGGGAGGCTGAGGCAGTAGGATCACTTGAGTCCAGGAGTTTGAGGTTGCTGTGAGCTAGGCTGATGCCACAGCACTCTAGCCTGGGCAACAGAGTGAGACTGTCTCCAAAAAAAAAAAAAAAAATAGTTAAACTTCCCTATAGAATCCTTCAGGGAATCTGCACAGAAAATTTTTGAGCTGTAAGAATTTCCAAATAAGAATCAGATATATCACTTAGAATACAAAAAGACAGAACAAATGGGACTGAAGTCTAAAATTTCTTAGGGTTAGGATATATCAGTTTATCAGCCAGTGTGAGGTCCATTTTGTGCATTCTTTTTTCTTTCTTTTTTATTAAGATATTCACACAAAACATTTTGTGCATTCTTTATTTATAGCTTATCTCAACTCATCATAGCAGCATTTCTCCCCTCTTGTTAGAAGATCCTATTAAGAGTGTCTCCTGGCCAGGCATGGTGGCTCTCGCCTGTAATCCTAGCATTCTGGGAGGCTAAGGTGGGTGGATTGCTCGAGGTCAGAAGTTGGAAACCAGCCTGAGCAAGAGCGAGACCCGTCTCTAACTATAATAAGAAAGAAAATTAATTGGCCAACTAATATATATAGAAAAAATTAGCCGGGCATGGTGGTGCATGCCTATAGTCCCAGCTACTCAGGAGGCTGAGGCAGAAGGATTGCTCCAGCCCAGGAGTTTGAGGTTGCTGTGAGCTAGGCTGACACCACGGCACTCATTCTAGCCTGGACAACAAGTGAGACACTGTCTCAAAAATAAAAAAGTATCTCCTAGTTTTTGAGCTTTCCTGTCCTCTCTTTGTATCTGGCAGAAAACAACCATGTTGGGGATACACAATGGCATGACCAGCGCACTGATGTTGAGTGTTCAATATAAACTTGCCACTGGCCAGGCGTTGTGGCTCATGCCTGTAATCCTAGCACTCTGGGAGGCCGAGGTGGAGGATTGCTCGAGGTCAGGAGTTCAAAACCAGCCTGAGTAAGAGCGAGACCCCGTCTCTACTATAAAATTAAAAGAATTAATTGGCCACTAATATATATATAGAAAAATTAGCTGGGCATGGTGGTGCATGCCTGTAGTCTCAGCTACTCAGGAGGCTGAGGCAGGAGGATTGCTGGAGCCCAGTAGTTGAGGTTGCTGTGAGCTAGGCTGATGCCACGGCACTCACTCTAGCCTGGGCAACAAAGTGAGACTTTGTCTCAAAAAAACAAACAACAAAAAAAAACTTGCCACTGTACTGGGTTCAGTCAGCACATCCCCCTGGCTCCTTCTAGCATACAGAAATTAATACTGATTAACCATAGTTTGAGCGATCATCCCACCTTGGCCTCCCAGAGTGCTAGGATTACAGGCGTGAGCCACTGTGCCCGATCAAGATACAGTTTTAAGCGGAACTTGGCTGAAAGTCAAGGTTCTCTAGTGAGAGAAGTCCTTCTGTTAACACTGTCCCTCAGGTCTTTCCCTAAATTAAAAGTTGGGCTCCCTGAGTAACCCCAGGCATACCATCACACATCTCTTGCCACATGTAAAAGGTAAAATTTCTCATTTTATCCAAAGAATAAAAGAAATAAGGTAACTCTGATGTAAGACCCTTCCCTTAGCAGAAAATAATAGCACTTAACAAAAAGAACATAATCATTTCTAGGATTTGAGGCCAGAAAAGTAGAGTTGGTTGATGTGAACATTGTTCTTCCTTTCAGGGCTTTGGGGTTTTATTTTCATTCTTAAACTCTTTAATGGGTATAAACTACTTAAAAACATCTCTAAGCATCTTTTGCTCTCCCAACCACTTCACCCTGTCCTTGCACCCACCCTTCCACCTTAAATACTGATGAAGAATTTCAAAAACTCCCTATGTGTATCAGAAAAACTTAGTAACTGACTTCACAATTGCTCTTCAAAATGTTTACAAGATCTTTAGATAATAGTGTATGCTCAGAAAAATGAGGAAACGTAGACCAAGAAGTCTAGACACAGATCAAGGGCCCAGGAGGGCAGAGCCAGCCCTTAAGCAATATAGACACCATGTCTCCCATGTTCACAGGGATAGCTCACAGGCACAGCCATCAGGGTTGGACAGCCTGCAAAAGCAGGCCCAACAAACTCCGCTTGCCAGGGCCTGGCAGTATACACCACTCTCACCACCATCCTTTGAAGAAAGTTCTAAGAGTTAAGGTTATCCCACAGGCTAGTAGGCAGATTTCCAAATGGCCTCAGGGGAAGTGGAACTCTTGCCAACAGTAAAGGCAACTCCCCAAACAGGGCAAACTCTGGGAAGGACTTTGATATACGTATGTATGGGTGGATAAAAGTGTTAATAAGCTCTGTAACATGAAACACCAAAAATGTAAATGCTCTACTTTTTACTTAAAATATAAACTACTCTACCTCATTGTTATATTATGCACAAATGTAGAAATGTTTTGATTTTTTTTTAAGATTGGCTGTGATCTAAAGAAAACAGTTTATGTTTTACACACAGAAAATTTATTTGAATAAAAGTTTTTACAGAACTAAAAAATGTTCTCCACAACATCAAAGCTCATTAAAATATTTTAATTTTAATATATATTTTCTTCTCTCAAAAATACACAAAGCCTTTAAATATTATATTGGTACTAAACAAAATCCTATGGACATAAGTATGTTTTACAACCTACATATTCAGAACACTTCCAACAAATTTTTCACTTTTATTTCTGGGTGGGACAGCACAGACTTGAATGGAATGAAGACTGCTTCAATTAGGACAGTTATTTTCACAGCTTAGTATGTATGTAATCTTACTGTTGATGAAATAGAGAATTATAAAACTTTCCATCTCTTAGTAGTCTTGTAATGAAACAGGAAAATATCCTGTGTATTGCATTTCTTCCAGAAATCAACTGTTATGAAGAACCATTAGGCTTATTTCTTCTGTGAACAATTTCTGAATGCTTTCAACACAATCATCCCAAGTGTCGAATAACTGCCTACTCTATTTACCTGGGATGTGTACTTCTTGGACAGGAGCTGATGATATGTAGACCTTCAAATTAATGGATGAGGTAGCTCAATCAATGTTATCACCAACACTTGAAGTGAAAGGAAAAGGAAGAAAGTTTTTCCCATCAAGAAAATCACACATCTTTGTGTGATCACTCATCACACAGCTTTGGAGAGATAATAGGAAAGAAAAATGAAGAGTAGAAGATGAATACTGAGAAAGCACATGAGAGAGATAGATGAAAATGCCTCATATAAATTTGGTTCTGTAACCAAAGCTCCTTAGTCAGGTCACCACAATTTCATTCACATTTCTATTTTCCAACTTTCTAAATTGTAAGAATCAATTCAACAGATACCAGACACAAATATACAGTATGGCACTGGGAATTAACTTAAAATTTCTACGAATTACGCATAAATGTAAGGCACCTTTGCGGTTTATAAAAGTGAATGCCTCAAAGTTAGATATTTACCAAAAATGGAGAAATATTCATATAAAAACTTATAGGAACCCTGAAAAACCAAGTAGGTACAAATCATTAGTGATCTTGGCCAACATTCTGAGAATCTTAGTGTGACTACAGAACAGAGATACAATATATAACTTTTTAAAATTACAAACTTCTATATATCTGTGTCAGGATTCTAAAACTGCTCTCATAAAAACCTATCAGTTCTAAGTTTTTTTAGTTTCTCAACCACCAAAGACTAAAGAGTAGGCAACAACCACTTACAGTATACTGCTGTCTATATTTAGTGATTCACCATACCACATCAGTTATAAAGAGACTGAGAATAATAGAGGCTTTGAGTTTGTTTTATAAAGTTATTTCTTACAAATGTTATAGCTAAGATAGAATCTTACTCAAACTACTTTAAAATGTGAAATTTCATGTGTTTTCTTGAAATCAAGAATTTTTAATTTTCAAATACAAATATTGTTTTGCTCTAAATAATGTGAGCTTTTCTATGAATCTTCAAAATTAAAAGAAGAACTTATATTCTCTTGTCTAGGAGAGACAAAAAGTTTAGATATTATAAAGCCAAAAGCTGATTTAAGAGAATAACCAATATCTTATGACATTTTCCCCCCAATTCTAAAGAAGTCAAATGTTCTCTAGATCATGGTTGCTAAGGACAGGTCATCAATAAAGTGAGGGTGTCAGGACAGATACAACTGTATCTTGCCTCTTTATTCACACACACACAAAAAGAGTATGGACTTTAATTTTTAAAAAATTATTACCTCTTAGTTACGTCATTTTAACAATTTAGTGCTTATCTTTGACCCAAAAATGAGATTTTTTAAAAACTATTTTCTTAAAATTAAAGAACACAATTAGTACATTCTTGTTGCTGACATGGAGATTACATTATTATTTACAATTCAAATCTTTGTTTTACTTCATCCACAATCATTTCAGAAATTGCAATGGAAGAAGTGGCAGCAGGGGAAGGTGCATTTCTCACATGAAGAATGCGATTTCCGATATCCCCAACTCCTCCATCAAATACAAAATCATCTACCAGATTTCCATCTCTGTCCAGAGCTTGGGCTCTTACTCCCGCTGGACCTCTGCAAAAGCAAGAGTGAGAGTCAAATGACCCAAAGACATAGGACACTTTATAAGTCAGTGGTTTTCAAAGTATTCTTAAAGCAAGGAAGTCTTTATTCTTCTAAATGTACAAAAGTGGACACACAATAGGTTTGTGTTTAGCCAAACTTTCAGTTGTAGCCTGTCAAACCTATATCTTTATCCTAAAACATAATGCTTATTACATAACACTATAACAAATGCCTCTCAAATCAATACACAAATAGGTAAGTTATTTATAAATAAATGCTCTTTCTAAAAGTAAATAAATCCACACTTAATTAGAACAGATGCATTTTTTAAGATTTATATTAATAGAATGAATTTATTATAAAAATCAACCAATGACAACAAAAGCATCTTCTGATTAATACAAAACAATGAAAGCAGGGGTTATACATTTCAGTTGCAATCCTATATCTATTTATTTTTATATTTTGCTTTGATACACTATTAAAATCTATGGAGAAAAATATTTGCAAATGGTAACAAGCTCTTGTTTTGTAGTTTGTTTTTATTTTTAAATAGTTTACCCTTCAATATTAGGATCACCTTCAATTAATTAGAGATGATAGGAAAAGTATAAAAATGATAAATTTTGTAGTATGTTACTATAATAAGTCTTTATTATTTAAAGTTCTGTTTTATAACATTTGAGTTCACATATTAGATTTCTGGGCGTTTTTTTAAGTTAAAGTTTACGATGAAAGTTGAACCAAATGCTTTTGGAATCCAAAGCATCTCTCCTTGAAACTGTTTAAGGAAGCCTACTGTGAAAAAGTCTATCTTACCAAGACTTAAGAAATCAGGCAACAATGTTAAACATTTTTTATTGATTCTGGGACAACTCAGATAAGTACTTGAAGAAGATACAAAGAACAATATAAGTATACTGCTCTCTAAGACCTTAGCCTGGCTAAAGAGAGATAATAATTATAATAGCAGCTTGGTGTGGTGGCTCATGCCTGTAATCCTAGCACTCTGGGAGGCCAAGGCAGGTGGATAGTTTGAGCTCAGGAGTTCAAAACCAGCCTGAGCAAGAGCGAGACCCCATCTCTACTAAACAAAATAGAAAGAAATTAGCTGGACAACTAAAAATATATATATAAAAAATTAGCCGGGCATGGTGGCACATGCTTGTAGTCCCAGCTACTTGGGAGGCTGAGGCAGTAGGATCACTTGAGTCCAGGAGTTTGAGGTTGCTGTGAGCTAGGCTGATGCACAGCACTCTAGCCTGGGCAACAGAGTGAGACTGTCTCCAAAAAAAAAAAAAAAATAGTTAAACTTCCCTATAGAATCCTTCAGGGAATCTGCACAGAAAATTTTTGAGCTGTAAGAATTTCCAAATAAGAATCAGATATATCACTTAGAATACAAAAAGACAGAACAAATGGGACTGAAGTCTAAAATTTCTTAGGGTAAGTATATCAGTTTATCAGCCAGTGTGAGGTCCATTTTGTGCATTCTTTTTTCTTTCTTTTTTATTAAGATATTCACACAAAACATTTTGTGCATTCTTTATTTATAGCTTATCTCAACTCATCATAGCAGCATTTCTCCCCTCTTGTTAGAAGATCCTATTAAGAGTGTCTCCTGGCCAGCGATGTGGGGCTCTCGCCTGTAATCCTAGCATTCTGGGAGGCTAAGGTGGTGGATGCTGCTCGAGGTCAGAAGTTGAAACCAGCCTGAGCAAGAGCGAGATCCTGTCTCTACTATAAATAGAAAGAAATTAATTGGCCAACTAATATATAGAAAAATTAGCCGGGCATGGTGTGTGCCTATGTCCCAGCTACTCAGGAGGCTGAGGCAGAAGGATTGCTCCAGCCCAGGAGTTTGAGGTTGCTGTGAGCTAGGCTGACACCACTGCACTCATTCTAGCCTGGACAACAAAGTGAGACACTGTCTCAAAAAATAAAAAAAGTATCTCCATGTTTTTGAGCTTTCCTGTCCCTCTCTTTGTATCTGGCAGAAAACCAACATGTTGGGGATACACAATGGCATGACCAGGCACTGATGTTGAGTGTTCAATATAAACTTGCACCCATACTACAAGTGAAGTATCCCAGAATGGAAAAGCACCAGATATATTCTCCAGCAAACTGGTATTAACTGAGTAGCACCTAAGTGGACACATAGTACTACAGTAATAGGGTATTGGGAAGGTGGGAGGGAGGGAGGGGGTATATACATACATAATGAGTGAGATGTGCACCATCTGGGGGATGGTCAAGATGGAGACTCAGACTTTTGGGGAGGGGGAAAGGGGCATTTATTGAAACCTTAAATCTGTACCCCATAATATGCCAAAATAAAAAAAAAAAAAATAAATAAATAAAATAAACTCCTCGGTAAAAAAAAAAAAAAAAAAAATAAAAACTTGCCACTGGCCAGGCGTTTGTGCTCTGCCTGTAATCCTAGCACTCTGGGAGGCCGAGGTGGGAGGATTGCTCGAGGTCAGGAGTTCAAAACCAGCCTGAGTAAGAGCGAGACCCCGTCTCTACTATAAAATTAAAAAGAAATTAATTGGCCAACTAATATATATATAGAAAAATTAGCCGGCATGGTGGTGCATGCCTGTAGTCCCAGCTACTCAGGAGGCTGAGGCAGGAGGATTGCTGGAGCCCAGTATTGAGGTTGCTGTGAGCTAGGCTGATGCCACGGCACTCACTCTAGCCTGGGCGAACAAAGTGAGACTTTGTCTCAAAAAACAACAAACAAAAAAAACTTGCACTGTACTGAGGTTCAGTCAGCACATCCCCCTGGCTCCTTCAAGCATACAGAATTAATACTGATTATACCATAGTTAAAATATCAGGCCGGCGCTGTGGCTCACGCCTGTAATCCTAGCTCTTGGGAGGCCGAGGGGGCGGTTTGCTCAAGGTCAGGAGTTCAAAACCAGCCTGAGCAAGAGCGAGACCCCGTCTCTACTATAAATGGAGGGAAATTAATTGGCCACTGATATATATATAAAAATTAAGCCGGGCATGGTGGCGCATGCCTGTAGTCCCAGCTACCCGGGAGGCTGAGCAGAAGGATCACTCGAGCCCAGGGTTTGAGGTTGCTGTGAGCTAGGCTGACGCCACGGCACTCACTCTAGCCTGGGCAACAAAGCGAGACTCTGTCTCAAAAAAAAAAAAAAAAAAATATCTACACTTATTTCTTACAAACACAAATTATGTTCTCAATGCCCCCTATACTCTTGTCAAAGTGTTCAAAATCCTATAATCCAAACTAAAAGGACTCATAGGATATTTTTCTTAGGATCTCACTTTAGTGTTATACCAAAGTGATTAGTAACATAAAATTTTAAACTACCAAATTTTTCATATTTCTTCACCACTTAAGGAACTTCAGAGTTTTTCTTCTAAATACTAGATATAGGCTTTTCCTCAGAACACTTCAGCTCAAGGTAAGAATTATCATTTGAAATCTCATGCACGCTTGTAGTCCCAGCTACTGGGGGGGAGGCAGCTGAGGCAGGAGGATGCTTGAGCCCAAGAGTTTAAAGTTATGAGCATGCCACTGCACTCCAACCTGGATGATTAAGCAAGACTCCGTCTCTTAAAAAAAATTGACAATCAGTTAAGACAAACCATTAACTATTTTAGGGCAAAGACAGTGTCAACACCTCTACTGCACCCCATGTCTGTTGTGTCTTCCACACAGGAAGGTATTCAGTAAGGCTAAACTTTTAGCTTTAGCTTTAAATTTTTAATTTCTAAATTATTAAGAGACAGGGTCTTACTCTGTTACCCAGGCTGGCCTTGGACTCCTCAGTTTAAGTTGATCCTGATCCAACCTCATCCTCCCGAGGAGCTGAGATTACAGGTGCTTGCCATCACATCCATCTAACTTCTAATCTTTTAACTTTTAATTCTATTTTAACAATGGTAAGAATAATTGACCCAGGAAATTAATATCTGCAAATTAGTACATTTAATTTAGTATATATAAGGAGATCTGTAGCCATATATTTTGCTACATTTATAGCTAAATTTAATGGGAATTTACATCCTAGATGCTTACATATGTGCAGAAACAAGAACAGGTGAATGTGTAACTAATTACATTGATTCATATCTGAGAAGTCCTGTATTACATTACTGTCATATGGCAGGCATTACACCATGGGCTAGGGAAACAGCTATGAAAAGTTACAACTATACATCTTCGGCCAGTCCTAAATAGGACAATCCAGTATTTATAAACTCTACTGCTAATCTAAATACAAGTCCACATGAGCACATTTTAAATTGGAAGGGGTGGTATGGAGAAGTGATAATTTCAGCTTAATTTCAAAACACCAAGAAGGGGTATTCTTTTTAATTTTTAATTACTATGGATACATAAGAGAGAGAGATTTTTATAATTAATAATTTCACTTAATAGATTATGACAAGAGAATATGGTTTTTCCACAGCCAACTTTTTAATTTATTGAGAACCTGGTTTAGGGCTTAGGACATATTGAGTTTTTGTAAATATTCTGTGGGCTTAAATAATACCAGTATCTGTAATAGGGGTGGGAGGATTTGATCTCCAGTGTTTTAATTGTGTTGTTCAAATCTTCTAACATTTTATCTGCTTAATCCATCTTTTTTTTTTTTATTGGAGACAGAGTCTCGCTTTGTTGTCCAGGCTAGAGTGAGTGCCGTGGCGTCAGCCTAGCTCACAGCAACCTCAAACTCCCGGCTCGAGTGATCCTTCTGCCTCAGCCTCCAGGTAGCTGGGACTACCAGGATGCGGCACCGCCGGCTATTATATATATATCAGTTGGCCAATTAATTTCTTTCTATTTATAGTAGAGACGGGGTCTCGCTCTTGCTCAGGCTGGTTTTGAACTCCTGACCTTGAGCAATCCGCCCGCCTCGGCCTCCCAAGAGCTAGGATTACAGGCGTGAGCCACAGCGCCCGGCCTTAATCCATCTTTTATTGACAAACATATCTTAAAATCATCCACCACAATTGAGGATTGTTTATTTTTGCTTGAAATTATATTCTTTGGGAGGGCCTAGGTTGAGGGTGTGCCCCTCCACAGAGGTTTTACATCTGCTTCTATTACCACCCTGAGAGCACTTTCATTTACTTGTTTAATGGAAAATTTTAAACATGTATAAAAGTAAAAAGAATAGTATAATGAACTCCCATGTATATATTACCCAGTTGCAACAATTATCCATAAACAGCCAATCTTATTTCATCTATATATCCCCAACCAACATCCACCTATCGCCATTCAATTATTTTATTTATTTTATTTTTTTAACAGATAGAGTCTCACTATGTTGCCAAGGCTGGACTCAAACTCCTAGGTTCAACTGATCTTCCCATCTCAGTCTCTGAAGTAGCTAGGACTACAGGCATGCACCACTGTGCCCCACTGGATTATTTATTTTTATTTTATTTTTTTGAGACAGAGTCTCCCTTTGTTGTCCAGGCTAGAGTGAGTGCCATGGCATCAGCCTAGCTAACAGCAACCTCAAACTCCTGGGCTCAAGCAATCCTTCTGCCTCAGCCTCCCAAGTAACTGGGACTACTAGCATGTGCCACCATGCCCAGCTAATTTTTCCTATATATATTAGTTGGCCAATTAATTTCTTTCAATTTATGTAGAGAAGGAGTCTTGCTCTTGCTCAGGCTTGTTTCGAACTCCTGACCTACCTAGAGCAACCCACCCGCCTCGGCTTCCCAGAGTGCTAGGATTATAGGTGTGAGCCACCTCACCTGGCCTCACTGCTTTATTTTAAAGCAGACTCCATATAGCATACTATTTCACTTCAATGTGCATTTATTTTTAAAGGATTCTTAAATAATAATAACAATAGTAAACTAATGATTGTTTAGTATCAACAATATTCAGTCCATAGTCAAATTGCCTTGATTTTCACTGTTTCTATTAGAATTTACTTAAAGTAGGAAAAGAACAAAAGGGATGAGCTAGGGGAGGCAGGGAGAGGGAGGGGGGAGGGGAGGGGGAGGGGGAAGGGAAGGAGTGAGAGAGAGAGAGAATATGAGAGAGAGAGAGAGAGAGAGAGAGAAACAATTGGTTTGAAGCAAGGTTTGAACAAGTCTGGGTCCACTTTTTAAGTTAATTTCTCAGTTTATGTTTCCTAAACCAAACTGGTAGTATAAAGTCAAACTCTAAGCACTTGTGAAAGAGTCTAGATTTTTAGGAAGATTCCTACCATTCCCTACCCTCAAGACCAAGTCAGACAAAATTCCTTAACACTTTCTAGTGCCACAGGGAATATTTTTTCTAGACTTCCTTTTCACAGAGGGTATAGCCTTTTTAAGAGTCCCTGGCTGTATGCTGGAGTCTTGGTTCCAACTTTCTGCCTTGTATATAGACCCAAGGCCTCTTTTCTAGCACTTGAGTGGCAATTAAAAACAAGTCCCTTGTTAGTAATCAAAATGCCACATTAAGCAATGAGGTTAGTTTTATCAGTTTCAAAATGATATTTCTGGCCGGGCGCAGTGGCTCAAGCCTGTAATCCTAGCACTCTGGGAGGCCGAGGCGGGCGGATTGCTCGAGGTCAGGAGTTCGAAACCAGCCTGAGCAAGAGCAAGACCCCGTCTCTACTATAAATAGAAAGAAATTAATTGGCCAACTAATATATATATATAAAATTAGCCGGGCGTGGTGGCGCATGCCTATAGTCCCAGCTACTTGGGAGGCTGAGGCAGCAGGGTTGCTTGAGCCCAGGAGTTTGAGGTTGCTGTGAGCTAGGCTGACGCCATGGCACTCACTCTAGCCTGTGCAACAAAGCGAGACTCTGTCTCAAAAAAAAAAACAAAACAAAACAAAAAAAAACAAGTCCCTAATATTCTATATCTTGTTTTGTGTGATGGAGACAAGTTTATACAATTATCAAAATTTATTGAGTACTTATGGTCTGCATATTTTATTGTATGTGAGTCACACATCAATTACAAATATAACTTGGGCCCCTCCATTGTTAAAATCAGCAAATCATCTCCACCTCTATAAGGCAGCATCAGTACCAGCTCCTCTTACTACAGGAGTTTTCAATTTGCTGTTTGTTTTTTGCTCCTGAGATGCCCTTTACATTTCTACAGTCTCAGCTATATGTATTTCAAGGATGTTTATTATATTTCTCCAGACTGTTAGTATTTTGCAGTGTGAGGGCTACCAAATTCTCTAGACTAGTGGTTCTCAAACAAGAGAGATTTTGCCCCCTAGAGGACATATGACAATGTCTGGAGACATTTTGGGTTGTCACAACTAGGAGAATGGGTAGCAGCCAGGGACTATGTTATACATCCTGCAATGTACTGGACAGTCCCACACAACAAAGAATTGTTTGGCCCAAAATATAAATAGCACCAAGGCTGAGAAACTGTTCACCAGCAAATTATTGCCTAAAATGCTCCGTCTAAGCAATGAGAAGTCAAGCTGGATGCCCTGTAGTGGTTAATGAAATTTACGGACACCACCCTGAGCAATACACCCCACTGAAAGGATTGCTTCAATTATCTTTCACTATCTAGAACTGCTTGATATGTTTCTGTTGCAATACTAACAGTATGGTTTTAATACACTGGTTATAAGGCAAATGAGACAAGACTTGGGCTTCAAGCTGTAAAAAAAAGCCTATTGATTTTATTATTGTTGAATATATTTCAGGTATATAACAAAGTATAGAGAATAACATACTGATCACTCATTTTCTTACCAACCAGCTTAAGAAATAAAGCATTACCCATAAGATAGAAGCCCCTGTGGAACTCTCGGAATCCTGTTCCCTTCCCTCCTCAGAGGTAACCACTCTCCTGAATTAGGTGTTTATCATTCCATGCTTGTTTTTATTTTCATATTACATGTACAATCCATAAACAATATTTGGTATTATTATGGTTATTTTTAAACTTATATAAATGGTGTCACACATATCTTCTGCATCTTCCTTTCTGTTATCAATAATTTCCTGAATTTAATAGCTACAGGATTCAAGAGAAGGAAAAACAGAACTGCTTAATGTATTCAGGTTCTCTGTCTCTAATGAGAAAATCATCTGTGATTAGGCTGAATTTGTCACCAAATGCACCTGTCTACTGTGCTGTGCCATTTTCTGCTATACACCAATGAAACTGGTAACTGAAATTCACACCCTTATACCCAAAGAAAGTGGTTACTAATGCCCACAAGCCTGAAGTCCAGTTCTACCATATGAAATCCAGTTGCCTAAAAGTTTTCCTTAGGCTTCTGTGAAAGGGTGCTAATGGAATACAGGCAGTGAATTCATTGTAACTGTTTCTACACAGATTCACTATGTCCACCTAGTGTTTTCTCCAAGGAATATTAATAGCAGTAATAGAGACCAGATTTGACCAATCTATTTTCAGATATACAACATCACAAGTCTGCTAAAGTAGACCGCTGAAAACATAAAAGCCTTTATAAGTGAAGGAAAGAAAATAATGTCTAGATATTTTTATCCCTTTCATTTGGGAAGGTGAATAGAGGGGTGAAGGAGATAACAGTAAATGCATTCGCTGGCTTTTAATACTTCTTCTAAGGATTCAAAGAGGCTGGTCTTAGAATGATACATTAGAGTCAGATTTAAACCAGGACCCTCCCCTAGAGGAGACAGCTGACATTATCACTCTCTTCCCAGATACAGTCGAGCCTGCTGACATTTTACACCAGGTTAGTTCAGCAGCTGTTACAGAGAAGGCAGACATTTAGTGCTCTAAGGATTCATGGAAGGATAAATTATAAACACAGGGTGCATACCTCAAAGTATACTACTGATTAGTACTAAAACAAATGGCTTGCTCATGGAAAAAGGTGAACACTAAAAAAGAGGGGAAAAAAAATAGGCTTGGGTAGTTTTTAGGATAATCTATAGATCAGGTCCAGGAAATCTTTTATCTCCAAGAAAAAAAGATGTAAGTTTACCCCTATATAGCCTCATACCCTGTAGCAAGGACTTAGATTGATTGTTACCACAGTTTCCTACCTCTGTCCTGCAAGTAGAGTCCCTGAGTGGAGAAGGGCCTGAGAAAGAACAAAGGAAGTAGAGCGGAAGCAAGGAAAGATGTCACATCCAGGAGTGTATTTCTGAAAGGTTTTATGAATCAATCAAAATATGATGTTTTAATGTGTTTATTCCCTAATTAGTTAACACAGTGATCAAATATCTTATACACAATTAAAGCCAAAATCACAAAAGTAGTGAGGGACATTCTGAAAACTTCAGGTACAATGTTTTTTTTTTTTTTTTGAGACAGAGTCTTGCTTTGTTGCCCAGGCTAGAGTGAGTGCTGTGGTGTCAGCCTAGCTCACAGCAACCTCAATCTCCTGGGCTGAAGCAATCCTACTGCCTCAGCCTCTTGAGTAGCTGGGACTACAGGCATGCACCACCATGCCCAGCTAATTTTTTCTATATATATTAGTTGGCCAATTAATTTCTTTCAATTTAAAGTAGAGACGGAGTCTCGCTCTTGCTCAGGCTGGTTTCGAACTCCTGACCTCGAGCAATCTGCCCGCCTCGGCCGCCCAGAGTGCTAGGATTACAGGCGTGAGCCACCGCACCTGGCCAGGTAAAATGTTTTTATCATGAGTGACAGCTAGACACAAAGGCTACGATGGCATTACAATAAAGCTGCAGTGGTTATTTCAGTTTAGAGCTGCAAGGTGGTCTAGATAATTACAAATGGGCCAGCACCAAGGGCTATGATACAGCAATGGCCTTCTTTGGGGAAAGAGAGAGCAAACAAAGATTTAGGGGACATGCTGATTGACTATAAGTGTGCTTACTAATCACCAAGTCAGACTCACCGCTCAAGTTCACCTGGGTCAGGACTGTATTCACAATTCTTATTACTTTTCCTTACCTAAGTATATCACTGATAGTGATTTCAGGGATGAACTTTTGAAGGTGCTTCACTGTTGTACCAAGAAAACAGGCTTTATACATTTCATTAACTCCATACGAGAAATTCTGGAATACCAGTTTAATAAAGCCACTGAAAACAGAGATAAAAATCTTTATCAGAGAAAGGAATTCTTTATTACTATAAAACACCTTTATAACTATTGGATTTCTTTTTTTGGTGGCATCAGAGAAATATAGGCAAAGTCAGAAAAAGTACAAATTAAAAGCAAATCAACTTTTGAACAATATCAGAAATAAATGTCATCAACTCAAGAGGTAAACATCTTCCAAACTCAAATTCCCAAGGAGTGCTTGTTTCAAACTAGGATTCTATAAAATCTGCCAACATGAAGGTTTTCTAATGCAAATATTATATGCTTTCCACACACCTAAAAGGCATTAACAGACCTTTTCATTTTGGGGAGGGACAGGGTCTCCTACTGTCTCCCAGGCTAAAGTGCAGTGGGTACAATCACATCTCACTGTGGCCTCAACTTCCTGGGCTCAAAGGATCCTCCTGCCTTAGCCTCCCAAGTAGCTGGGACTATAGGCATGAGTGATTACATCTGGTTAATTTTTCTAGAGACGGTTCTTTTTTTTGTTTTTTTGAGACAGTCTTGCTTTGTTGCCCAGGCTAGAGTGAGTGCCGTGGCGTCAGCCTAGCTTACAGCAACCTCAAACTCCTGGGCTCAAGCAATCCTGCTGCCTCAGCCTCCCAAGTAGCTGGGACTGTACAGGCATGCGCCACCATGTCCGGCTAACTTTTTCTATATATATTAGCTGGCCAATTAATTTCTTTCAATTTATAGTAGAGATGGGGTCTTGCTCTTGCTCAGGCTGGTTTCAAACTCCTGACCTTGAGCAATCTGTCCGCCTTAGCCTCCTAGAGTTCTAGGATTACAGGCGTGAGCTACCGCACCCAACCGAGACAGTTCTTACTATGTTATCCAGACTGGTCTCAAACTCCTGGTTCTCAAGCGATCCTCTTGCCTCAGCCTCCCAAATTGCTGGGGGCATTAATAGATATTTAAACCAGGGCATGAAACAAGTCTACCATACTTTTCTTTAGTCAGCCAGAGATAAGATATTTTAGTTGTGATTCCCAAGTGAGATTCTGCAGAGCCTATGAATGTATGTAATTTTACATATACACATGCTGGGAAGTCCCATCCCAAACTTTCTGTTTCAGAATCTGTGGAGGATGAAACCCAAGTATACCTTAAAAAGCATTCTAATGATTTTGACATGAAACCCTCTAGAGAGGAACATTGCTAAAATGACCAAATAAATACATCATTAAGTTATTTTTTTACAATAATAAAGAATGAGCATCCTAGGTCAACACAATGGTACTGCTAGTTTTTTTGTTTGTTTGTTTGTTTGTTTTTTTGAGACAGAGTCTCACTTTGTTGCCCACGCTACAGTGAGTGCCGTGGCATCAGCCTAGCTCACAGCAACCTCAAACTCCTGGGCTCAAGTGATCCTTCCACCTCAGCCTCCCTCGTAGCTGGGACTACAGGCATGTGCCACCATGCCCAGCTAATTTTTTCTCTATATATTAGTTGGCCAATTAATTTCTTTCTATTTATAGTAGAGATGGGGTCTCGCTCTTGCTCAGGCTGGTTTTGAACTCCTGACCTCAAGCAATCCGCCTGCCTCGGCCTCCCAGAGTGCTAGGATTATAGGCGTGAGCCACTGCACCCGGCCAGTTTTTTACAAAAAATAAAAATTCATCAGTAATTTCTCCAGTGGCTTACAAGATAATGGTAACTGGTTTGTAATGATCTTATCAAAGTAAGCCATTTACTGATTTTGAGAGAACCTTCTTCCTTTTTGTTTTCCAACTCAATTAGGTTAACAGTATAAGATTTGGATTACCAGATGTGTGAATGGCTCTTGGCCTTATCTTATTTTTAACCAAGACATCACCCTGGCTCATCAGAATTTTCTTAAAGTAGTTAAAACATTATGCTTATTCCACAAAGCTCTTAATTTGAATTAATAGTGTTTCAGTTCTTTTAGAATTTGTCTAGTGGGTTTTCTGGTTTTCACTGGAAGACCCAAAAATAAAAAATAAAAATAAATATATTTTGATTAATAAAAACTCAATATATTAATCATAAATATGAGGATTCGCTCAGTAAACAGACTATCAAGAAAGACAAAATTTCCCACATTAAAATTATAAGCAAGGCCAAGTGCTATGGCTCATGCCTGTAATCCTAGCACTTCAGTAGGCCAAAACAGGAGGTTTGCTTGAGGCCAGCAGTGTGAGACCAGCCTGAGCAAGAGTGAGGCCCATCTCTACAAAAAATAGAAAAAATTAGCCATGCATGGTGGCGCACACCTGTAGTTCCAGCGACCCAGGAGGCTGAGGCAGGAGGAACACTTGAGCCCAGGAGTTGGAGGCTGCAGTGAGCTATGACAACGCCACTGCACTCTAGCCTCAGCGCCAGAGTAAGACTCTGTCTAAAGGAAAAAAAAAAAAAAAAGCATCTGGCTGCTTGTGAGAAAAAAAAAAAAAAAAAGCACATCCCGCAGGAGCTGGATTTTGTGGGGCTTATACATAAAAATGTAAGCACATAAACTCATTTTTTAAAGTAAATAAAATTGTTACCTATTTTTAAGTATATCCATAACATCTCTGGCATTGAAGTCAAAGGGTCTGTAACCCTCCCGCTTAAAGGCAAGAACTGCATTAGGCCCTAGCCAAATATTGCCATCCATCCTTGGTGTGAAGTGAACTCCTAGGAAAGGAAGCCGGCTATCTGGGACCTATGGATATAACACAGCAAAGAACTATTAGCCCCATCTCTCATTTCATTTTATTATAGATTCAAACATTTAATTGGCAATATAACACACTTTCTTCTCATGCATGTAATTTACACTATGAATTATACACAGATATACCTTTCTATTAAAACGTTTCTGCTTAGAAATGCCCCATAAGAAACACTGATGCTGTGGACACTTGGAGACTAATACACACTGTCCCAATTATTCATCTTTCTGGGTAAAGAAAAAAAAAAAAGACGAACTGCCCTACTTCAGGTTATTCTCCCACTTTCTCTCTCCTATAACAAGGGACGTCTGTGACTGGCAAGTAACATCAGAACTGCCATAAAAATACACCCATTCATAGCACAGGCTTTTGCAAAATGGGAATGTATGAGGTTGAAACACATGAATTCATGTTTTAGTAAGGCAAATACATAGAATAGCTGAATATTGACTATTTCACTGGTTCAACCTAATATATTTTAAGAGATTCATTCATTTCCAGGGTAGTTCCAGACAGAAAAATGAACTCTTCATTTATACACTTCTGCCTTGTACTCCCTGAAACTACAGAATGGCCACATCCCTTTTCTGCATCTATAGACAGACAGTGAACTGAGAAAGAGGGTTGGGTATCTGGGAATTTCATTGGGAAAGTTTTCTTACAAGTACTCCCTCCATGGAGAAGAGGAAGAATCTGGTTAAGAAACCTTATTAATATTTCCCATGGTGCACTCATGCTTTCTGGAGACATGTACATGTGGGCAATTAATTACAATTTAATAACTATATTAAGATAAAGCTTCAGGGATTTAAAAATAAGAGAAATAGATGAAATGCTTACACAAACAGCCCTTCAAAATATCTCTTACTTTTGACCCAGGTAAAAGTTTTTGTTTTCATTCCCTTTATGTCCATAACCAGCTTGAGAAGAGTGAGAAGGCAGAAGCATCATTACCTACCGGATAAATATTTCCTTTTACAAGATAGCATTTTTCTGGCTTCAAGAGCAGGTAATCTCCCCGGAATGGAACAATCTGAGGATCAGGACTGCAGCCACTCAACTCTGAAATTCGGTCTGAGTAAAGTCCTGCACATGTCAAAACATACTGACATCGAATTTCGTCTCCCTAGTGCAAAATAAAAGAACAGTGATTTGTATAAAGGAATAGAATAGGTCAAGAGGGGAAAAACAGATGCTAGAAAAGGAAAAAAAAAGTACAGCAATGGACCTTTTTTTTTTTAAGACAGGTTCTCACTCTGTCACACCCAGTAGCAAGATGATGGCTCGATATAACCCTGAATTCCTGGGTTCAAGTGATACTCCTGCCTCAGCGTTGCAAGTAGCTGGGACTACAGGTGCACACCACCACACCTGGCTAAGTATTTTTGTTTTTTGGTTTTTTTTGAGACAGGGTCTCACTACGTTGCCCAGGCTGGTCTCAGGTAATCCTTCCACCTCAGCCTCCAAAATGCTGGGATTACAGGTGTGAGCCACCTCAACCGGCCAGAAATGGACTTTGTTTTAAAAGAGGAAATCCAATGCAGGTATTAACACAATAAATTCTTCAGCATTTAGGTGGCAGCTAGAGACTTAAGGTAGTGGCATGCAGGAGGATGTCACCTTAATTTTTCTTTTTAATTTAAAAAAATACTTTAAAATTTTTTCCCATTACCTTAAATTTTTTTTTTTTTTTTTTTTGAGACAGAGTCTCACTTTGTTGTCCAGGCTAGAGTGAGTGCCGTGGCGTCAGCCTAGCTCACAGCAACCTCAAACTCCTGGGCTCAAGCGATCCTACTGCCTCAGCCTCCCAAGTAGCTGGGACTACAGGCATGTGCCACCATGCCTGGCTAATTTTTTACATATATATATCAGTTGGCCAATTAATTTCTTTCTATTTATAGTAGAGACGGGGTCTTGCTCTTGCTCAGGCTGGTTTTGAACTCCTGACCTCGAACAATCCGCCCGCCTCGGCCTCCCAGAGAGCTAGGATTACAGGCGTGAGCCACCGCGCCCGGCTACCTTAAATTTTATACTTTAAATTAGACATAATAATTAGACCTAGCAAGGATACTTAATCAGCCATGTCTACATACACAAACCAACCTATTTTATTAGGACCTAGCAGGGAGCTTCTTAAACTATTTGTTGTAGGAAGAAGCAAATTTCGTTTAGATGGCCTCCACCAATTTGGCCTCCTCTGTATTGCAGACACCTTCTCCTGTTTTATCCGAGTAATTACCCTATTACTCTTTTGTTGCTTTATATGCAATAGTCCTGCTCAATTCCAACTCTAACTACCAACCAATTTCTCCTTCCTCCTGATCAACATCTACTTTGCAACTAAGCCTACTTTAAAAATCTCATTCATTCAATTCACATTTACTGAGAGCACACACTGCAGTGAAGGCTTGCTTTCACTGGCTTTCACTCCTAGTCAGGAGGCTTGCAGTCTCCTGACTAGGAGACTGCTAATGTTAGGCTGTTGTGATTTCCCACAAATATTTTGTGATTATCATCTGCATGTTTTTTAGCTATACCCTGCCAAGTTTAGCAAACTTGCCACCCTATTCCTAAATCATCTATAACCGACATTGACCACCATACTCTACTTATTATCTCTTTACTTCTTACAGAGTAAACAACTAGCAACTCCTCATTCTTATTTACATTTTCTTTCCAGCCTCAGAGTTATCTGTCTCGACATTTTCTTTCACGCTCTCGCTGATTCAGCCTTATTCCACTTATTCCTTATTCCTAAGGCCTTATTCCTTATTCCTTATTCCACTGAACTATATTTTCATCTCTATATGCATACTATTTTTGCCCTTGCTAGTTAAGCCTCTTTTCAAGAGTTATACATGTCACATTTTTTACAAAAATCAGATCAAACTTCTCCATAGTCAAGTCAAATTAGTTAGACTAAACTATGATAGTTTTAAGACCTTTTAAATCAAAAGGACTATATCAGCAACAACAGAAAAATGCCTTCTTCTAAATAGGTTAATATCTTTCCTGTTTATCTAGAGTTATATACCAGAAGTATAAGAAAGATTTTTATGTGATATATATTTACTAGTTCCTACTTAAAAGATCAGCAGTTCTTTTGTTCTTGGAACATAAAATGCAGTTAGGCTTTATGATAAATGTAAAGATAACAGATTTGTAGAATGGTACCAGCATGCAGTAAACTAATGGTTCTCTTTAAAAAACTCAAGCAACAGTTCTAGAGAAAGAAATTACTAAAAACTATCACAGTTCTCTGAAATCTTTTTATGCTATACATGAAAAAATAATTAAATTCAGTAACATATAAATTTTACTTCCAAACTGAAATTTAAGTAAGCATTGAATGATACCTTTGTTCAAACATAAACTTCTTTTAAAACAAAAACCATGTATCTCTATTGCTGTTTCATAAGTGAAACATTCCCCACCCATATCCAATATATAAATCTTTACTGAGCAAATCCTCTCCCCAAAACTTTATTTTAAAAATTCCTTTTCTGACAGACATGGTGGCTCATGCCTGTAATCCTAGCATTCTGAAAGGCCAAGGCAGGAGGACCGCTTGAGCCCAGTAGTTCAAGAATAGCCTGGGCAACATAGCAAGACCCCATCTCCACAAAAAAATTAAAAAATTAGCCAGGGTGGCGGCATGCCCCTGTAGTCCTAGCTACTTGAGAGGCTGAGGTGGGAGGATAACTTGAGCCCAGGTGTTCAAGGCTATAGTGAACTATGACTGTGTCACTGTATTCCAGCCTGGGAGACAGAGCAAGATTACTGCTTAGGGGAAAAAAATTCCTTTTCTTTTTTTAATACACCTCTCATAAAACCATTTCAATATAAGTAGACCTAAAAATTTTAATTTGTACCCCCAAAACTATACTAATGGAAATGCTGAAATAAAAAGCAACAGTTATAATAACTATGGGGAAAATATATATCCATTAATATGCCATAGGCCACTGCATATCTTCCGTCACATTATGCCATCCTCTAGTCCCTTAGATAAGGGTGAGCACAGAAACAGATTTTTATCTTTCTTTGAATGGAAACCCTGCTTGCTCTGCCACTTGGACCACATACTCAGTAGATCTGATGGTAACTGAAATGTCTGTGGCAGACACTGATGTTTTACAGAAACTTTGGCATGCCCCTAAGGGAAATCATAGCACAAAACTTTAGGATTTTGGAGGAAAGTTATACAATCCTCTGCAGATAACTATCCTCCTTGTGAGAAAGTGCTTCTGGCTTTGACTGAACACTTGACCACAGGTCAATAAGTTACCATATGAACTACCCCTTATTAACTGGGTGTTGCCTGACTCACCAAGCCACAAAACTGGGTGTATATAGCAGCACTCCATTATCAAGAGGAAGTATAATACATAAGATCAGGGTTGTACAGGGCCTACAGGCACACATAAGTTGCAGAGGTAAGTGGCTCAAATTCCTGTGACCCCTACTCTTGCTAAACTGCCTCCTTTCTCTCAAAAAAAATAATATGGTGGCAAGGATGGAGGTGATGCATGGCCTCAGGGACAAGGTCTTACTCGCCAAGGCTGATCTGTCTACAGCCATAGCTGAGTGCTCAATCTGCCAACAGTAGAGACCAACATAGCAACTTATATGGTCCCTGGACCACTCCATCATAGAAAAGGCAGCACTTGCTGCCTTTCCAATTCTTACTGGAATAGACGCTTGCTCTGGATATAAATTTAAATTTGTCTTCCCTCCCCACAATGCTTCTGCCAAAACCACTGTCTATGAACTTGCACAATGTCATATTCACCTTTGTAGTATTTTACACAGAAGGATTACTTCTGATCAGTGAACTTACTTTGCAGCAAATGAAATGCAGCAATTGGCTCATGCTCATGGAATTCACTGATTTTACCATTTTCCCCATCATCCTGAAGCCACTGGGTAAAAGAAACTAGAATGGACCTTAGAAGACTCAGTAACAGCACTAGCCAGCTGGCAGCACCTTGCAAGGCTGGGGCAATGTCTCCTAGGATACTCTATGTGCTCTAAATCAGTGACTAATATTGTTTTTTTCTCCCAGAGCCAGGATTCAAGGTCTAGAAATCAAGAGTCAGAATGGGAGTAGCCTCTTATTATTACCCCATTGATCCACTAAGTGAAATTTTTGTTTTCTATCCCTATAATTTTGGTCTCTGATGATCTTAGTTCCCAAGAGAGAAACACTGCCATCAGAGAATAAGCAACTTGAAGTTGATTTTTCCATACCTGGCCACTTTGGGTTCCCCATGCCAGTGAATCAGTGGGAAAAGAGGGGACTGCAGTACTGAATGGGGTAACTGTTCCTGACTCTCAGTGAAATAGAGTTGCTCCCACACAGGGCTTGGGGATGACAAAGAGAATGTCTAAAATACATATTCCCTGGGGCACATCTTAGTATTCCCATGTATTGTTACAACCAAAAATAGACAAATTACTAATGACATAGATACTTCAGGAACAAAGTTTGGGCTACCCTACCAAACTAGGAATCCTGACCAGCTGACATGCTTGCCAAAGGCAAAGAGAATATAGAATGGATAGCAGAGGAACAAAATTATAAATCTCAGCTATCACCACACAACTACTTACAGCAATGAGGGATGTTATAGTTATGAGTATTTCTTCCTTACTTTGAAATAAATATATTTATCTGTACATTATCCAATTCTTTCTTTATTCCCACTGTTATAGACAGAATTGTATCCCCTCCAAAATTCATATGTTGAGGCTCTAACCTCCAATGTGAGTATTTTTGGAGAAAGGGCCTTTAGGGAGGTAATTGAAGTTAAATGAGATCATAAGGGTGGGGTCTAATTCAATAGGACTGGTGTCTTTATAAGAAGAAGGGACACCCAAGTCACACTCTCTCTTTCTGGGCACACACACAAAAGGGGCTATTTGATGACACAGTGAGAAGGTGGCCATTTAAAAGCCAGAAAGAGGTCTCACCAGAAACCAGCCCTACCAGCACCCTGATGTTGAACTTCTAGCCTCTGGAACTGTGAGAAAATAAATTTCTGGCCAGGCGCAGTGGCTCACGCCTGTAATCCTAGCACTCTGGGAGGCCAAGGCGGGCTGATTGCTCGAGGCCAGGAGTTCAAAACCAGCCTAAGCAAGAGCAAGATCCTGTCTCTACTATAAAAGTAGAAATAAATTAATTGGCCAAGTAATATATATATAGAAAAAGTTAGCTGGGCATGGTGGCACATGCCTGTAGTCCCAGCTACTTGGGAGGCTGAGGCAGTAGGATCACTTGAGTCCAGGAGTTTGAGGTTGCTGTGAGCTAGGCTGACGCCACGGCACTCACTCTAGCCTGGGCAACAAAGCGAGAGTCTATCTCAAAAAAAAAAAAGAGAGAGAAGAAATTTCTGTTGTTTAGGTTACCCAGTTTGTGGTATTTTGTTACAGCAGCCTGAGAAGACTAATACACTTATCTCTACCATTCCTCCATTATTTAACACAGTTTCTCAACCTCAGTACTACTGACATTTGGAGCTAGACACTTCTTTGTTTTGGGGTCTGTTCCTCACATTGAAGGATGTTTAGCAACATCCCTGGCCTCTACCCACTAAATGCCAGTAGCACCGCCCCTCCCTTTCTCCTAGCTGTGACAACACAAAATGTCTCTAGACATTGCTGAATGTTCCCTGGAAGCAAAGTCACTTCCAGTTGAGAACAATTAATCTAAGATGCTTAATGAGTGGTTAACCTTTTATCTCAGTATTTAAGTTACAGGATCTCGAAGGGAGAGTATGACTACAAGAAAGAATGAACATCACTCAAAGATGGATAAAGTAGACTCTGCATCTTTTTTGAAGAGAGTTAGCATGTCTTTGGTTTTATGAGGGATAGTTACATCTTATTAAGTGGAAGCATACTTTTACTACTGTTTTTATTTGTAAGCTAAATATGGTTATAAGGGATGCGAGTGGATGTCAAGTTAACAAGCAGGGGACTACAGGGGATTGTACTCTGTCAATTTGGTTAAGCTGGGAACTGTGCTTGACAAAATCCTTCTCTGCATGATTTCAACTTAAAGTTGACCAGAAGAGAACTGCATATGACTTGCAGGCAGAAGTAAAACAGCAGCCACTATTCTCTGAAGGGCAGCCTAGTTCAGTGTTATGCCAGACAGACACCCACTGCCCAGTGAATTCCAGCTCCATATCCAGAAGTTTCCCAACTACTGATCCACCAACTCCCTTCTGAACCTCTACTTCCCCAGATCCTTTCACAATTGTGTAAAGCCTAATTCCTATAATCAATCCTGTAGCATTCATTGATGACCCTGCTCCCCTGCATAAACCTTGGGGAACCCATGCTTCTGTGCCATTTAATGTTTCTTGCTTTAAGACTCTATGAAGATGAACGACAGCAGTCCATCTCCCTCTACACAAACTTCACACCCCACTACCACCAAAGTCTTCTAATTAGTAGAGAGCCAATAAGTCAATGTAGAGCAGTAGGCGGCGAGATAAAATATCTACCAGTTTTACCTTAAAATTAAACACTCCAAGTGCTTATAATCCTATTCTTTGCTAGTACAGCCACTTTCTAAAGACATTACCAACTTGAAACCCTTCTTAGAATGAAAGCTGTTAAATTGCTCTAAAAGAATATCCCTCAGAATTACTTTTACATTAGATACATTTCAGGTCGGGTGCGGTGGCTCAAGCCTGTAATCCTAGCACTCTGGGAGGCCAAGGTGGGTGGATCGTTTGAGCTCAGGAGTTCGAGACCAGCCTGAGCAAGAGTGAGACCCCATCTCTACTAAAAATAGAAAGAAACTGATTAGCCAACTAAAAATATATAGAAAAAATTAGCCAGGCATGGTGGCACGCATGCCTGTAGTTCCAGTTACTCAGGAGGCTGAGGCAAGAAGATTGCTTGAGCCCAGGAGTTTGAGGTTGCTGTGAGCTAGGCTGACATCACAGCACTCTAGCCCAGGCAAAAGAGTGAGACTCTGTCTCAAAAAAAAAAAAAAAAAAAAAAGATATATTTCATTCAATGACTTAAAATACAGCAGTGTGGGTTAATTCAAGTTTTTAGGAAAGGGGAGGAGATGAAAGTAGATAACGGTTTTGATAAAGAATCTTTACCTTTGTATTCTTTATAACAATCGGATATTTCATTCCTGAAAAAAAAAAAAGAATTAGTAAAAGATTTATTTTAGCAAAAGAAGGCCAACATTATTTGAATTATTATACTAGTAACAAACTTAAATGATCTCTTTGTCATAACCATGACTGTACCCTACTTTTCATTCTGAAGCTTTTTACTAAGTAACAAGATTAAACTAGTTCATACTTGACAATATATACAACTCTAGCATGTTTCTATCTTGTTTTATTTTAACTCATCTAATCTATGCTTATAAACCATTCCCCACCTCAGCTCCAACAGAGACATCCCAGTTTTTCTCTAAACTATAATCCTGGAAATCATGCTGTACAATGGATTATCATAAGTCAGTATACATTTTCCAATAGGACTAAAGCTATGATATGAGAAACTTGTGTCCAAGTGTTGGTTACCTGATTCCTTACAGGTTCTAGGTTGTTTAGAGAAGAGATATCACAACACAAAAACTTCTTATAATAAACTGACCATTTATTTAATCTGAGTTCCCACTCAGATACATTGGATCTCAAAGTCTTATAAAGCAGATGTATGGCAAATGAAGAATAGAATCTACCTGCAACATAAATTTGATTTATTATGCTACCTACCTATAACAAACTTAATTATTTAAAATTTTGATTATTTTAGAATTCAGGAGGACACTGAGAATGATTCAGATGGCCTACATGTTCTTAAAAACTTGTCAAGGAAAAAAGAACAGAGCACTACTTCTTTTCTCCTTCAAATTTCCCAACAGCCAATAGAAGGCTTAAAAATCTTTCATTCAGTTAAAAAAAATTAAAGCCTTAAAAAAGTCTTTAAAAAATTAAAGAGCAACAAAACAAACTCTAAGTGAGTCTTAAATGAGGAGGGAAAGGTAGTTCAGGATGGCTGAGCCATTTTATGACATTGGGCTATCATTCTGAAACTCAGTGTATCTAAGAATCACTAAAGGCTTATTCCAGGTTAAGCTGATTCAGTAAATCTGGGTGATGCTAAAATCTGCATTTCTACAAGGATTGTCAATGGACTCCAACTCTAACCGGGAAGTGTTTGAGGGCTAATTTTCCATAAACAGCCTTGCCAGATTTTAGTACCAGTCAGAAGTATCTGATCAGTGCCTAGTTCTATCACAGAAGACCTTCCAGAGTCCTTGGTCTCCCACATTCAGTCTCACCCTTGTCCCTTCTACACCTACCTCTGGTTCTGTACCCCACTCTAGCCTGCCTCCTAGTGGCCTCCCACCAGCACTACCCAGGGAAAAACAATCCCAAGTTTTTTAACAAGTCAATACAAGTACAGTCATCCCTCAGTATCCATGGAAGATTGGTTCCAGGAACTCCAAGGATACCCAAATCCACACATGCTCAAGTCCCTTATATAAAATGCCATAGTGTTTGCATATAACCTACACACATTCTCCATATACTTTATTTTATTTTTTTGGGTCAGAGTCTCACTCTGTTGCCCAGGCTAGAGTGCCATAGCATCAGTCTAGCTCATGGCAACCTCAAACGCCTGGGCTCAGGCGATCCTTCTGCCTTAGCCTCCGAGTAGCTGAGACTACAGCATGAGCCACCATGCCCGGCTATTTTTTGTATATATATTTTTTAGTTGGTCAATTAATTTCTTTCTATTTTTAGTACAGACAGGGTCTTGCTCTTGCCGGGCTGGTTTCAAACTCCTGACCTTGAGCAATCCGCCTGCCTCAGCCTCCCAGAGGCGGGCGGATTGCTAGAAGTAATCCTTCTAGATTACTTACAACATAAATGCTACATAAACAGCTGCTATACTGTATTTTTAAAACTTATTCATTGTTGTACTGTTATGGCTTACCATCTTTACTTCTAGAAGGGCTTTCTTTAGCCATTTCAATATCTTTTACTTCAAAACTGGTCAGACAGAGCCACCTGCTTCTTGGAAATCCTGGGCAAATGACAAAGCCACCTGCCGATAGTCCACAATGCCAGTATATGGACAATCAATAGCCATTAGACCCTGGACAGAATTATGAAAAACAAACAACATATATATAATGTGTCTAACATATAAAAACATTAAAAAAGATAAATAAGAAAATTTCTATAATCAAGAAGCAATTTTCTTCCTTAGAAGTTAATTTTGCCAGTTCTCCCTAGCTGCTACTCCATTTATTCATCCCTCACCATACCTGCTTCTGATCTGACTCATATCTGATTCTGAGTCAAATTCTATATCATCAAACAAGTATGTTTAAATGCTCTACTGAGATTTTCCCAGTAGTGTATCACGTCATGCATATTCAGTGAGAACTCAGAGTTGTTCTAGTTATTCACAATGCTTGCGAAGCATTGTTTTCATTTGCTGCAGACTTATACCTTATATTCAAGACTACAATATGGAATGAAGATTTTAATGTGGCTAACTCAAACTTTCTCTTCAGATAATATAAGAAATTAACAGCCTGACTTTTTGGGTTGTTTGTTTGTTTCTATTTTTGTCCCCCAAGACATGTCCAAACTCTAGAAAAATGAACTATAACCATGCTTATTTTATTTTTGGAAC